TTCTCCCCTGACTTACAACAAGAAAACCCTAGTTCTTTCCTTTAACTCGTCTTTGCAAAATCAAGCGCATACAACCATCATCTATGAGAGTACGTCTGTTTTCTTCCTCTTACAATCGCTAAGCCCTAACACCGAAAATTGAAAGTCAATTGACCCTCCATTCGAAGAAAAAGGTAAGAATTTTCCTTTATTTATTCCATTCTGTTACTTTGACCTCATATTCTTCTGTTCTTCATCTTTTTTCTTCCAAATTATCAACTCTAGCCCTATACTGTGTTTTCTTTAAATGGAGAACTATTCAATTTAGGGCTTGATTGCAATTTTCTCCACGAAGCCCTTCTTTAGTAGTCAGCTTTTGCATCTTTTTTCTGAAGGACCAATGCCCTTCTTTAGTGATTTCAGGATCCATGTAAGTATCAATGTTGAATTCACCTTTTTCCGATTGCTTTTCCATCTCAATACACAAACTAGTGATTTTTGTTTTCTTGCTGCTTTAGTTCTCTAAATATTCCTCGTGCAAGGGAAGAAACTCTCTCCAGACATTCTATTTTGGGCCCGAATGGAATTCGTGGGCAACACCCAGCTCCTACCTTGAATGTTGCGGTAACTTCATTTTCTTTTTGGATTCATCTAAATGCATAGCATTAGCATCTTACTTTCATTTTTTTTCTTCATATTATTGCATGAAAAATCTACTCAATCATAGCAGTAAATATCATGTCTTTGCATGACATTACTATAATTGGGTGCTACGATGTTATAATAGGAAAAGGAAAGTAACAAATAAATTTAAAAGTACGTTTTTATTTGTTCATGTAACCTTTTTTGATTCAATAACATGGAGTGCTTATACTCTTATATGTATCTCAGGTTCGTTATCCAAGCAATATAGATTTGTCACCATCAGACAGTTCCATGAATTCTTCTCTCAAACTTGGAAGTGGTTCTACTTCTACCAGACAGAATTATGCAGGTAAGCAAGGTGATTGTTTTCAGTTTACATTAAGGTTATCCTTATTGAATCAATATGTTTTCTTGTACGAAAACATCCCTATTTACAGAATCACATGCCTACCCAAGGTCCTGGGGGTGGTCTGCTTTCACAAAACCAGAGGACAGCAATTCCTCAAGTATCTTGGGTTAGTAGTGGTCAAGGTGTAACAGATCTCCCATTCCCAAAAAGGCTGGGAGTTGAGTTTAATGGGAGAGATAGCCCTCAATCTGCTGAGTAACAAATAAGCTTGCAGACAACTAGTGCAGGTATCTTGAGTGGCATAAGACTGTTTTTATACAGTTATAGACAACAAATTAAGTCTTACTTATCATGTCAGATTAATTTTTTTATTTTCAGGTCAAAGTCAAACACGTCAGTATCCAGATAATGTTGTTCGACCTTCTATTGGCATAAGACTGTTTTTATAAGGTTTTTTAGGGCATATTTATTGCCACCCCACCGGTCTTCCATCGAAGAAAAAGGTTGGTAGGTCGGTTCTTTCTATATTGTACATGATGACTTCCTTTCTCTTTACTTTTCTCTTTTAAAATCTACTCCAATCACTCTTTATGCTTTTTTAATTTTACCATGAAATGTTTTGTTGGATGCTGATCGGGGGTTTGAGGGGTACAACTAATTGATCTTTATGATTTTGGAGTTTGTTGGATGAAGGCAATTAAACGAATTACAGGCATGTCTTCCTCTCTTTCTTTATCTCTCTTTCAACTTACTTCTCGCTCCTATGGTAATTCTATCCTTTTGCAGTTCTTGTGCTTTGGTTTTGGGGGTACTCATGCTTTTTCCTTGGGTCCAATAGGAAGCGAATCAGCGTCCATTCTCCGACCACCTCCAATTTCCCTGAGAACGACTTCATCTGCTTGACCGCCTCATGCTTCGCTTGTGCCCTCCGCCTTCCGATGATATCTCCACCTCCTCTTACCTTTAAAGTTGATTCATCCTTTCTTTTCCACGATCTTAAGTTTGGTGTCACCTCTTACTTCGTTTTGTGACCCCTGGTCGCCACCTCCTACTTCCCTTTATCCATATCTATTCGTTTTAGAGTAAATCAAGGACTTTAAAATTTCAATTCAACCAACTCATCTCCAGGCAAAAGAATTCCAAAGTTGAAGCCAATGATCAATGATGTATTTGTCTTGTACAGAGAATGAGGAAAAGAAAAGAGAGGAACGTAATACACATTAACAAGAGAGAAGCTCCAAAGAAAGATAGCATCATACACCCAAATAATTTAATTGGACCAAACATAAGCAAAAGATATCGAAGACACTTTTCACGTGGGAAGCAAGATGTGGTGTCTTCATACCAGGCATGAGGTGGTGAGTTGCTTGATTTTTTACATGGTATATCTCAATCTGTTGTTTCTTTGAATTTGGATGAAATGATAGGTTTCTTTTCCCTGTTCATCTTCTTTCATATTATTCAATTTCGTTTACAGGATAATTATTGAATTTAATTATTTGTTTGTTGTGCGATTAAGCTTCTGGTAGGTTTAGATTTTTAAAAGTTTCTATGATTTTTTTTTTGCTGGCTGGTGGTAGCAGATCCAAGAATGGATTGACATGATGTTTTCCTTTTTAAACAGTTAAGATCAGATATCTTGAAGATGCTAGCTATCCAATAGCTCTAGAGGAGAAGAGACAGCTAACCTTGATTTAATTGCTAGCCTAAGGAGTAAGGGCAACTGCTGGATTACCAACACAAGAAAAGATATTTGCGACTTCATCTTCTTCCAATGAAGATGATGAAGGACCTCTAAGTTAGGTGAAATGATATTGTGACCCTTTTCACTATTATCTAAGCATGCTATTTCTTCTATAATGGTATTTGTGTAACCATAGGTCACACCATCTATTACTCACTCTTAACAGTTTTGGTTTATCATTATGTCCAAAATATATCCATGTTTAGGTATTATATGTAAGCCCTTGTTAATATTGATAACTCAATATCAGAGTACATATAGAACCAAATATCTTGAAAGCGATGTGGTTAGCCATTAGCATAGCGAAACTCAAATAAGAAGTAGCTAATGCTGAATATTGGGAATTGTTATGACAATTAGGGAAACAAGATGCGGTGTAATCAACCAGACAGTTTAAAAGAGTTCTTTTTTCAAATAGGGGATATTGAAAATAGTGAATCTGAGAGGTCCGAAGTGAAAATCCTAACTACAGAACATCCTCATTGCACAATATTATATCAGAAATCAGTACTCTATAACAAAAATTGTTCAGAATTTGGGAGGTTTTATGTCACAGTTTCTTGGCTGTTATAATAAAATTTGAACACCATATAAACAGAATGGTAACCAAGCTTTAGCCTTTAGGTACCATATAAACAGAATGTTAACCAAGCTTTAGGTTGAGCCACAAAGGGAAATTGGTCCATTGTATGACGCGAATGAGAGAGGAAGCAGATGAAGTAGATTTAAGAGATGCAAGAAGATGTTGAAATTCTCCATTGGTTTTCACTTAATTAGGTGGATATTTCAATGTACAATTCCTTGATAATTTTTTTTTTAAAATCCATGATGTAACAGAAAATATTCAAAGTATGATGCGATAATAAACAAATAAATGAAAGTTCTATTGCAATTTATTGCATTTAGCCCTTAATTTCACAATTAATGATACAACCGTACTACTTTATTAATCGTGTATATTATTTCAACATAATTAGCATTAATTTCTTATATTTAATTTTCTTGAATTTGTGCAGGTTGGTTGTAATTTTGAGTGGGAGTTTGATGATCTTCGGGTGAGCCATAATCTTTTTCTTTTTTCATGTTATACTCGAGGTTAATTGCTTTAACATACTTCTTTTTTCAAAAACAGAGGAATATGGAATCTTGTGGCTCTTCAGTAGCATCGTTGAAACAATATTATTATACATTACTTTCAATTTGATAATCTCTACGATGATGACAAGTTGATGGCTTAGGAATCTGCCTGAAAAGGAGGCGCTGGCAATTTTCATGGGATATGGTGGCTGATAATCGACTTAGTATTGATGCTATAAATCTTTAAGGAGATGGTAGAACAGATTTTTTTTTTTTTTGATGAGTTGAGTTGATTATTTAGTGCATGAAACTTATAATTATGGACGACTTCTATTTGATGGGGGCTCATGCTTCAATAAACACAAAAGTTCAATCTATCCTTCTGGTAATCAAAGCGGTTTGTTTTCCAATACATCAACACATAATCCTTAGGTCCCTATCAAGTCGATTAAAAGTAAGTAAACAACACTTTAAGCCTTTTACATATAGACTGTTATTGTTGTCAAAGTCAAATGTATGGCTACTAATTATACAAATAAAGAAATTACATATACATGAATGCCTACCTTATGTAGCCTCATCGTCAATAATATCCCTAGAAAGCTTCTTTGGTTCTTTTTAAACTAATGTTTTTCCCTTGATACACATTTCAGGATCAGAGTGGGCACATGCACATATTGCATGGTTCAGACCATCATCACTTTAAGCGGAATGTGGGGCTTGATCTATTGGACAACCTTGAAACTTATCACCACCGTGAATCATAAATCAACATCCCAGCCTCAACGGACTGTGGTCGGCCCCTATGGCTGGTCTGATAATTAAGGTCCTGATTAAGAATGGAATAATGGTCGATGAAGGTCAAAGCCCTATTGTTAGTCAAGGAAGCAATTAAAATTTACTTAATAATTATATTCAAAATGACAAAGCAACAACTATTGCAAGTTGATTAGTTTACAATAAAAGATAACTCCACAATAAAAAAACATACTCTATTTATGAGATTTAGATTTACTAATGTACTTTTCTTTTTACCAACAATACCAACATAGTTTCGTTTTTTATCCAAAATAACAATGAAGTTCATTTTATTATCTTACCAAAATCATCTTTTGTGGGCCGTGTTTAGCACGGCCCTTTTAACTTCACTAGTATATATATATATATGACATCGTAACTACTAACTAATGTAATGTGTTTGATTATATGCCAGATCCTGAGACAAGTCCTCCTGAATTGACAAAATATAAATGCTTGCTATGCAAGAGGGATCTTTCATTAACATCAGAAGGTGCAGTATACCAGCCTACAGCACCACCAGCAGTTGCTATTCTTCCTTGTGGCCATACTTTTCATGATCAATGTTTGCAAAAAATCACTCCTCAAGACCAAGCAAAAGATCCGCCTTGCATTCCTTGCGCCATTGGTGAAAATTAGGTCCCATCTCTATTCTCTAACCCTACTTTTTATGGGTCCTTATATAAATATATACATATTAAACGTATAGATAGATGATGATATTTGAGATCAATTGGATGATTTTTGTTCTAATCACATAACTCAAAACTCTGCTAAACTGGTAGAGAACTGACGATATTAAGGTGATTGATACTTTCTTTTTACCTCTTATAGCTAACTTTGGCTAGATCTGGATACTGTACTCCAATGTTTGGATTAACCATAAAAAATCAGACTTAGAATATTTCAAAAAATCGAACTGATTTGGTTGTTTCTTCTTTACTGACGATCTAATAAACGTGAAATTGAAATCCTTATACTTCTAAGTTTGGTACTTGGTAGAAGGCAAAGTTAGTATAAATTACAATACATCTTAAAGATTCTTTGAAGATGTAAATCTATTTCCATATTCTTTTACTCGTGTGCAAGGGCATGAATTCAAGGTTTTAGTACCTTTTGTAAAGTTTCATGTTTGTGATTCTATTGTAACTAAATTTTCTTTCAGGGGATGGCTATGATATTGTATTAAAGAAGGCAAGATGCATTAGCGGCTGTCAAAAGGTATAACAATGTCGAACTTGATGGGAAGCCAATGAATATAGAGATTATGGGATTAAACGTTGTGGCCCCTGTTGCTGGTTTTTCATTTCCAAACAACTCTTTTGGAAACATGAATGGTTTTCCAAGAAGGTATGGTTTTTTCTTGTAATTTGAATCTTTGGTTGCGTTTGGTTGATTTCTTCCTTTTTTTTATTAAAGACGCAGTTCTTTGGCAGATCTTTGCCTTGATACGTAAACCCCCTCCCCCTCTTTTTTTTTTTTTTTAAATTATTAATAGTTAAGTCCTTATAGTTTTGTGATTATGTCAAAACAGGCCCTTACTGATGGTCTTTCTAAGGTATTTCTTAAACCCTGATATATAACTTGCAATGATTCCTTTATGAAAGGGTAAAATAGTCAAAACAGTAGCCAGTCCTATCACACCACCATTACCAACAAACAGTGCAGAAAGAAGACAAGAATTATGCGAAATTACGGTTTTAGAAAAATTGGAGAACCACTTCCAGATAATATCACTTTGAAGACATCATCGATACTCTTCCCAAGACCGTATTACACTCTTACTTATTAATTTTTATCCTTTTTTATTTGAACATATTCATATTTAAAACTTTTTATTTTTTTCTCAAAAGGTATTTGAAATTGATAACATGAAAGCATGGAAATCTGTTTTGATATTTGCCACTTCATATGCATTGGGGCTTTTCATGATTGCTAAATCCCCATGGTATTTTCTTCCATTAGCTTGGGCATGGACAGAAACTGCAGTTACAGGGGTAAAATTGTAAATAAAGTTACTTTGTTTTTTTCTCTTCATTAAATAATCCTTCAAATACATATTTTTAATATTTTTTGTTGTATTTGTGCTTTCAAGGTCTTTTAGTTGTTTTTCTGGACAAAATGAAGAAGATATAGAGAGATTGGTGCTGATTTGATGCTATTTAAATATGATTAGGCCGTTCAGATATTTTTTTGGACAGACTTGCCCCTATTGCTGGTGGGTTTACCAAAATACCCTCCATAAGATAGTTTTATAAGTGCTTTAAGTCCCTAGTACAATCTACTGCATGTAGATGGACAAATTACCCCTGTTGCTGGTGGGTTACCCAAAAGAATCTGCTTTGCATTATCCTTGATTTAGTATGTTAGTTCAATGTTTTGATGGATTTTAGGTTAAACAGGGATGTATCTTTGACTTACCATTTTATTGAAAATGGAATTATGGGTTTGGTTAAAAGAAAAAATAAATAATAATAACTACATGAAATAATGAACTTTTCAACATGTCTCATTCCATTATAATATCTTTGTGACTTAATGTTTTGGAACTTGATTGCTTACTGATAGTTGTTTGATTCTGGTGTTCTATTTTTTAGAGAAACTGGATGACTAGCTAATCCAAAGGCTTCCATTTACGGATTAGTCGCCTCTTCCTCTTTAAGAAAATTAGGGCTTTCATCAAGAAACCTTCAATTGCAGTTGATGACTCAATATTTAAGGGTCCTAATCAGGTATTTTGTTTTCCTAAAACATGAAAATTTGTAAAGTGAGACTGAGAGCCACTTGGTATAAAAAAATACATCTTTTCTACTGCAGTACCAGAGAGTGTAAAAAACAACTGATCAATTAAACTGTTGTCATTTCCAAGATCCTTGTTCTCCTAAACAGAAAGATTCAACATTTTATAAAATTAAATAATTAATGTAATGTAGTACATATTTGCTAATGATTTATATGAAAGAAGGTAAAGTACCACTTTGAGAAATGGTTCCAAGGCAGTCTATTAGTTCTTCTTTGGTCATTCCAATACCAGTGTCTCTACAATAAGGGTAAAAAAAGGTTTATAAATCTCTTGTAGAGTTGTATTTTATGAGGAAAGATTCAAGAATGAAGAAAAGTAAGTAATCTTATGATATTGTGATTGTCCCTTTTTCTGGATCAGGTTTAATTTGGATTTCAAGCTCACCAGCATCTCCAACTAATGAGGGATCCGTTACACTTAAGAATATCAGCTTATCAAGAGCATCACTTGCATTACTAAAAGAAGGTTTCTTGTTAGAACTTTTGTTTTTAAAAACGATAAAAGATGGAAATCAAGCATGAAACATGTAGACTGTAGAGATGTTTTTACATGTAAATTTATATGTTTTTACATATAAATTTTTATATTGTAAGAAATAGAATTGTAAGACATTAAATTTTATGAAATGGATTATATTTTTTGTATATGATATTTTATTTTATATTGTGAGACATTAAATGCAAATTTAATTTGAAAATTAGTAAATCTATAAAAAATAATTTTTTTTAACATTTAAAATTATGATACGCAAACATGCGTGTCATCTTCATTTATGACATGGCCTTTCTTGACAGAGGCTTTCTTGATACGCATTGCGTGTCATTAACACGCGCGTCGTAAGGTTACGACACCCGAATGCGTATCGTCTTCCTTTATGACAAGGCCTTCCTTGATACGCATTGCGTGTCGTAACCGCGCGTCGTAAATGCGCGTCCTAAATGTGCGTCGTAAATGCGTGTCGTCTCTCTTTATGACAGGGCCTTCCTTGACACGCATTTGCACGTCGTCTGAGCGTTTTACGACGCGCAATGAGCTTCATAAAAGGCCTTTTTCTAGTAGTGAACGGTAAAACGACTTGTTCTTATACATATATATATATATATATATATATATATATATATATATATATATATATATATATATATATATATAATTAACCATTAATGTCATAAATAGTATAAGTGTTGAATTTTAACTTTTAAAATTCTAAGTGTTGGAATTAAAGTTTATTAAAGTGTGTGAAACTTTTCCAAATTCCAAAACTTGAGGACAAGTTTTGTAACTCTTCAAAACTTTTCATTTCATAACTTATGAATTAAAGGTTCATAAAATGAAGACTCTTCATTTTATGTAACTTATGTGTTTTTAATGTGTGTTAAAGAAAAGTGACCTTTGGATATCCATAACTTGAGGACAAATTATGGACTCCATTAAAACACATAAATGATCAAGAATTAATCCTAAATAATTCAACAAATAATTCCTATCAACTTCTAAATTCATAAGAACATGAACATGATTATCAAAGTTTCAAAAATTATATGAACACATACAAAGCATGAAATTTTGATATATGCTATTGTAAATGGATTAGAACAACCATTACACCCACTAAAATAAGTTTTAAAACATCAAAACAGTTTGGGGTAAATTTTCTAGTCCATTTCCAGCAGCAAAAGTCGAAAATCTGCATTCTGAATCTTCTACTCGCCGAGTGCACGAATCTACTCGCCGAGTAGGTTGAACTTTGCCTTGGACTTGTCGAGTCCCCCCATGGAGTCGGTGATTCCATCATGCAGACAGCAAAGATTTCGACTTTTTTCACTATTTTGCATCAAGTATCAAACAAGCAAACCTGGCTCTGATACCACTGTTGGGTTTTGAGCAATCTAACACCTCCTAAGTGTGCATGCAACCCTAATAAACCTTGGATCTATGTTTGTCTAAATACATGCAAAATAATAATTTTCCAAGGTTCATAACCTATCTAACATGGCATGGGGTACTTTTAAACATAAAAGAGTTAGATGAGATTACATACCTTTTTGATGAGTTTGATTCTTAAGGAGTTTGAGGGCCAAGCACCAATAGTGTGAATGCCTAAAATGGAATCACAAATCACCACAAACTCTTGGAAAACTTTGAGAGAGTGTACACACACTACAATTTTCGGCCACACACAAACACACACACACTAGTGGCTATTTCATGCAACATAAGCATGCTTATATAGTGTACATGATTAGGGTGAAACCCTAATAACCCATGACCTTTCCTTTTCCAAGGATCCATGGGTTAAAATCTCCATGGATCATCCATGGACTTCCATACAAGCCTAGCCCATTAACAAATGGGTGTTAGCCCACACCATATAAAATCAATAGCCCACAATCTAATTAGTCTTCCTTTTAATCTCTAAATTAATTCATAATTAATTTAAGATTAAGACTAATTCAATAACATGACTTCATATTAATATATTATAACTTATAATATATTAATAATAATATGTGTATAACTCTCATAAAATTATCCATAAATAGTTTGGATGAAATGCAACCCTAATGGACCATGCCGGTCGGGTCAAGTATATACCAAATAAGTTATGGACTTAGACACCTTATCCAACAGTTGGTAGCTAGAAATTCTACATATTAAAATGTGATTGTATCACATTAGAACATGAAGGAAGGTATACTCTTTTTTGGAGTTTAACTCTAAGAGACCTAAGTCTAAAGCGTTGCAACATATGATGATAAGTCATTAGAATATGACACATAGATCCATAGTAGTAATAAAAGAACTTATCTCAAGTTCGTATCCAGTAAGGATCGAGATTGTGACTTGAAGGTCATAATTTGGAGTCTAGCGTGAGGAAGAGAGCAGGTGTACGATCGAGTACCGCATACAGTCAATGAGTCTAAGAGATAGACTTGAAGGAATATAGAAGTTACAATTATTACCTAGGATGAAGACATCACATATGGAGTCATTATACGAGCCCTATTTCGTTGATGATTCCGAGACATAATCATCCTAAAGGGGAGATAATTGTAACGCCCGTAGATCCGGGCTAGTCAATTTAGAGGTAATAGGGGTCGAAAATGAATTTTTGACAAAATATTATTTAGAATAAATAATCTTAACCAAGTTGAAGAATATGTCACAAGGTTTCCGTACATATAAAGAGCGTCAAAATCGGAGTTATAACGAATAAGTTATGACCCGTCGAAGTTTCGCGATGGAACCGGCACGGCACCGAGAAGCATAAATAGTGATTTTACGATGGAGGACTTTTTAGCCTTAGTGATCTAAAAGAAAGTCGTATAATAAGTTAAACCGAGAAAATCCATAAAAAGAACGCCCAAATCTGAATACGTATGAAGAAGTTATGATTTTTCTAAGATTCGGCTTAGCAGTGCACGGCCCGAAACTCGAATTTTAGTTCGAGCGGTTTTTGACTTACGTGACTTAAATGAGAGTTGAAGATCTCATTCATAGGAACTTAACAGTAAAAAGACAGACGAAAACAGAGTCCGTACGAAGGAGTTACGAATTCTTCGCGGTCATCTAACAGTCTAAACGCCTCGTACTGTTAAATTTAAGATCGGTCGAGAATTAGCCGACGGAGTCAAAATGAAAGTTGTAGATATTATTTTTACCTACGCGTGGATATAAAGAACGTCAAAAACGAAGGTCGTATGTGAAAGTTACGGATTTTAGAAGTCGTAAGTGTGTTGTGCGAAAATGGGTGATGTGGCACAATCTTGGCCATTGCTTTCTCCCCAAGTCTTGCCACTAGATGGTGACATGTGGCACCAAGTTCAGCCATTTTCACCCTATAAATAGAACCTCTCCCACCCTCATTTTCTTCACACCTTTCTCATTCTTTCTTCTCTTTACTCTCTCTCTAGAACCTCTCTCTAGCCCCGAAACCCCCCGAAAAGCCTAGGGAACCTCCCTAGCACAAGGCGGAAGCCCCTGAGTGCTTGACGGCTCCGAGAAGAAGAGCTTTTCCGCATGGGAATGCTGCTCCAAGCAAAGCCTGGTTTTCTATAAAACCCGCTATAAGTGAGCTACGCCTACGCTATTTTTAATATAGTTTTTATTTAATTATATTAACGTTATTAAGAACATATAATAAGTAATTGGGTTGTTATTATGGGTTATATAAGTATTATTTAACGGTTATATAATAGTAATAAT